ATTCTTCACTACACTAGTGTTCAAGTTCAAAAGGAAGAGATACAAAAACAAAGGCAGACAGCCCCAATAACATCATCCATAAATCGAACTAAAACCTATACTAATAGCACACACGAGTTCCTTTGATCTTTTCTTCCAAAAAGCAAGCAACACTATGCTACTGGAAACCAACTCAACAGCAGCATTCATCCTTGAAAAATGAAAAGCAATCACTGCAAGAAACAGAGTAGCAAAGTCACTTTTAAATTGAACAAGTTAAAAAGCCTCAAGTCTGGCTCAATACCTTGAACCTTTCATTGCTTTCAACAAATCAGTCGTCTAGGGATATTAGATGCTTCTTCATCACAAGTCCCCCTTGAACTGCAAGAATAAAAAAATACAGTTAGAGATTGAAACTATCAAACTAAGTACCAATCTAAATTGAACTAATTACACAGAAGCCAAAATCGAGAACCAACTATCTTACCAGCTTCGTCTTGATCTTCAGTACTGGAATCTGAAATTGCTAGAGCAGAGAACACCCCTTCCATTGCCTCTACAGCAGCCTTCGATGATTCTGCAGATTGAAGAAAACAATGAAAAAGACAATTAATATTCAATCCAGTTAACATTTTAATGAAAAAGACAAGTAATTGCATATTACCTTGTTGCATTTCCTCCATAATCCAACTTCTGGTACACATCATTGCCTCTATTGTATCATAGTGCAATCTACTCCGATGAGGGTCTATTAACCTCCCACCAGAGCTAAAAGCAGATTCAGAAGCCACTGATGTAATTGGTATGGCCAAGAAATCCCTTGCAATTGCTTGCAAAGTGGGGTACTTAAGGCCATTCAGTTTCCACCACATCAGTATATCAAAGTCAGGAGACCTTTTAGGAATCAGTTCCTCAAGAAGATAGTGATCCAGTTCAGTATGGACCAGAGTTGCTTTGCTTTTTTTCCTCCGACTCACAAACAGTTCAAAATCAAGATCATCATTTGCAGGAGTAGAAGAACTATCATAAGTAGTTGAAGAACCAGAATTGTTCTTCTCAGACTTGGTTTGGTAATTAAGCACCAAACCACAAATACATTGCTTAATATTATCAGCCACCAAGTCAGTATTAGTACTGCCAAACTTAACAGCATAATACTCAATCACATGCAACTTGTATCTAGGATCAAGAACCACTGACACAGTGAGAACCAAGTGTATATCATCACAATACTTAGAAAATTTCTCCCACATACTCTCAGCCATAGCCGAGATAAGAGAATTGGTATCAGCACACCATTCCAACAGTTTCAGTCTCAGATCACAAACCTTGGGGAAAAACAAATTAGCAGTGGGGTACTTGCTGCCAGAAAACAGCTTTGTGATCTCACTGAAAATTTCCAGCTTATCAATGACCATAGCAGCAAAGTCCCAGTGCATACTAGTAGGGACAGTGGTGTATTGACTATCCCACTGCCTCAAACGAGGGAAAACATCTCTATACACAATGGTAGTAGATAGCATATCATAGGTGGAGTTCCACCTAGTTGGACAATCAAGCACAAGTTGCTTCTCACAAGGCACTTTAAGCTGCTTAGCAGTTTCAAAGAAGGTTTGTACCCTCTTAGAAGTGGACTTCCAGTACACAACACTATCTCTAACCAATTCAATGCCATCCTTGATGACTTCCAACCCATCTTTCACAATGAGATTCAAAACATGAGCAGAACATCTCATTTGAACCAGCACACCATCCAACAACAGATCATCAATAGCAAGTTTAGTTTTCATATGAGTAATCATGGCATCATTGGTGGTACAGTTATCCAAGGTAAACGAGGACAACTTTCTATCAAGATTCCAACCAAGCAAACACTTGAACAACCTATCTCCCAACCTCTTACTAGTATGAGGGGCAGGGACATAGATAAAACTCAACATCATGTTTTTAAGTTTCCAAGAATTGTCAATAAAATGACCAGTAACCGCCATATACCCCATCTTTTGGTTAGTTGCAGTCCACATATCAGTTGTGACTGCAACTCTACCAATATTACCATCTAAAACCTTCTGAAGCTTTGCCATCTCAGCCCCATATAAAGCAAATGTGTCCCTCTTCACTGTATTTCTACAAGGGACAGTGAACTGGGGTTGCAAAGAACAACAGAAATGTTTAAACCCCACGTGTTCAACAATGTTCAGGGGATACTCATGCACCATAATCATAGAGCACAATTCCTTCCTAGACACATCAGAATTGAATTGAGTAGCAGATAGGAGGGGTTTTCCAGTTGGTTTATAATCAGGACCAAGAACTCTCTGCCTACCATCATGTATCTTTCTTTGGGTGCAAGTTTTGTAATGGTTCCTCAAGTGGGAGGTTCCATTACTAGTATCACCACCTAAACGTTTTCGACAGTATTTACACTTGGCTTTAATCTCCCCATTAAACTTCACCCTCACAAAATGTGGCCAGACATCAGAAGTCAATTTACGATCTTCATCCAGAATTATTTCAACATTTTCATTTCCATTAGTCAATGCATCATTCCCAGAACCATTAGCAGTAGCAGTAGCATTACCATTGCCATTACCATTACCATTACCATTACTAGGGATGACAATTTACCCACCCATGGGTAATTTTGGCCAAATCCAAGTAGACCCATTTATTATGGGTAGAGTTTGGGTGATGTGTGTATGGGTTTGGGGTTTGTATATGGGTTTGGGTTAGATATGTATATTATCTAAATGGGTATGGGTTGGATATGGATATCCATTTACTTGAGGGTGTTTTAACTACACATGCAAAAATTGGACTTATTTGTAAAACTTGAAAATTTTAGGTACCAAAATGTAAGACCAAAAAAATTTAGGTACCAAAACGTAATTTTCCATCGATATTTTGAGGACTTATATGCAAAAAAAAATTAAATTTAGGTACTAAATATGCATATCTATTAAGTTTAGGTACCAAACTGTAATTTGTATTTGGACATGGGGTACAAACCCAAATCCATTTGTTATAAACCCAACCCAACCCAAAGTAAATGGGTATGGGTACAAACCCATCAAACTTTACCCATATCCATATATTTGGATTTCATACCCAACCCAATTGGGTTGGATAGTAAAATACCCATGGGTATGGGCAAAATTGCCATCCCTAACCATTACCATTACCGTTTTGATTAGAAAGCACAGTAGGATCATTAGCATTCAAAGCACAATTTTCAGTAGCACCATCCATCTACACATAAACAATTAAATAATTGCATTCAATCAATCAATCATAACTACCCAAACAAATCACACAACACACAATACAAATTACAATCGAGAGTTGAATTGGACCAAGGTTATGCCTAACCTGTAATCTGGAGAGGGAGACTCTGTTCACCAGACTGCATATGGTGAGCACTGAGCTGATGCCTAATGCGAAGCTAAAGAACTCCCAAACAAAGCCAAAACAAACAAAATAAAATTAGCATGCATCGACTGATAAAGACAGCTCATGAATCTGGAAAAATAAAGGTATAAGTTTGTGCTTACCTCGACTGTGCTCTGAGCAGAGTGCAGGTAATGGGTTTAAGGAAGAAGTTAGGCTGACCAGTGACCTGAAATTAATCGAGGGGTTAATTTATATACGAGAAGAAGGAAGAAGGCAAGAAAGTGCAGCAGAATACGAAAGGAAAAGGGAGAAAGAACTTATCTCGCTCGATGTGCGATATCACGCCGATTTCCCCCAATAGCTGCAAATCGAAGATTGCAGCGGGCAATTTAGGGCTCTGCATGCTGTTTCCCGACGAAATCGCCGACAAAACTAGCATCCAATTGGCCAAATTGAGAGATAATGATTGCCTACTGGCAATCATAATTGTATAAACAACATGGATTGGGAGGAAATCGTGGGGAACAACGAGATTTTTGAGCGGATTAGATGTTTGGGAGATTCGATGGAGAGAAAGAAGCTAGGGTTTCGGGAGGTTCTCGAAGAGGAAGATGAGAGGAATGGGAGCAGTCATTTGGGACGGAGAGTGGAAAATGAAGATTAGGGTTGGCAGTCTGCTTTGTTTGGTTTATATACGATGTCTAAAACGACGTCGTTTTATGATTTGGGGCGGGGGCGGGGCGGATACCACTAATACCGTCGCCACCCATCGCCCGCAACTCACGGGTTTCGGGTAAACCCGAATCCGCCAAAAGCCCACAACGAACGGTTTTTTAGGTCAAAATTCGGGCGGGTTTTGGGTGGATACCCGATGGGTCGGTCAGGGTTGCCAACCCTAATTATGACAAAATGTTGATGTTACAATAGACGAAAATTGTTGTAGTGAGGAAATGCAGCCGCTTCCGAGCTCATCCGCTTCCCACCTTTTCTCTCCCTCCCTGATCGCCTCCGCCCCTCGTCGCTTTCCTCCTTTGCCCCGCCATCGCGTCGATCCCTCCTCCGCTCATCTCCAACGTGGCTGTGGACGACGACGACTCCCAATCTCTCAATTGAAGCTCCCAATATTTGACCACGCTCACCAACTCCTTTTGGCGACCCAACTCTGCCCCATCTCTCCCTTCAGTCATCGCAATTGACTTGCAAATTAGGATTTGATCCAAGTGGAACAATCAAATCATCCCCGCAATATAGAGCTCCGACATACCGAACATCAGAGCTCCAGTTTATAGAGCTGCCAACATCAAATTCATCCGCTATACAACATCAAATCGACATAAAAGAGCTCCTCACTTTCCTTTCTTTGGCTTCTCTCTCTCGAATAGTCAGACATGGCGGGTGTGGGAGCGGAAGCAATGGAGCAGGTATGAAGAGAGTTATATACCGGGTTGATTACCATCCCTAAAATAAACATGTTCACAAAAATTTTGCCATTTAAAAGGACGAGATTTAGCCATTCAGAAAAATTCTGGGGCATAAATGAAAATCGCGTTTCCTGGAGAAGAGGGCCGGGTCTCCGCGCTCTATTTTCAGTTTTCACTTAATGAGCCCTGATTTCGAATCCCCTCAGCGACCAAACATTCCTTTCTTTCCTCCTTTTGTCAGCCACACCAAACGCCGTCGATTTCGCTTCTGTAACCCTAACCCCATCGAACGACTTCTTCTCACCCCCCCCCCCCCCCCCCCCTCGAGTAAAACCCTCTTCCTCCTCTGGGCGGCGGTCGAGAAGTCGGCGGCAAGTCCTCCTCCGTGCGCGACCGAACAAGAAGCTCCACCACACGAGCTTCTCCTCCAGCCGGCGACCGAGAAGACATCGACCTGACGCGCGACCTTGAGTTCTCCTCATTGCGTTTCTTCTTCAATCTTGCTTGCAACTGGGAAAGATAGTAAGATTGTACCCTTCTCAAGCAATTCCTTGCTTATGAAAAGTAATAAACTGGCTATGTACAAACTCTGTGAGTTCAGAAGCAGCGAATGCTGCAATTTGACTTTTATATCAGACTTGGCTATGCATTAAAACAAGAAAGTTTGAATCTTGACATCAGTGGCCACCATGCTGTTCGATGAAGTAATTGGGATGCTCACACTATATCCTTGCGCTTTCTTATGATGAACTGGTTAAAATTTGAAATAAGACTGGTACAACATCCTAGGTCGTGATGAAGATTAGGGTAGAGTTTGTTCCTGTTCATTCATTGGAAATGTCAGAATCGTATTAAAAATGTGCTCCATGATGCTATGGGCTTAGCCGCTTATGCTTACATGATGGTGGAACTTATATTTGTGCTTCCATATTGTTTAGTCTGCCTGGTCGATGATACGTGCAGGCTGCAGCTGTCAGATCCTGAGGCCATAGTGTATACGTAACTAGGAGCAGTATAGTATGTAACGCCAATGTGTTATTGACTGAACTTTCATTGTTTTTCCAGGTTGCTGAGTTTGCTAATTGCTTGGTCGAGGCTACAACGGAGTTGCAGTACAAGTATATAAAAATCTCCTCCAGGACCTATATATGTTGTCTATCTCTGAATATATCATCTAGAACCATAAAGTTATGTAGTGTTAATGATTTCCAATTTTCCTGCATATTTTGTTAAAATCGGTATATAACTGACATAAAAATTGATTGTACCACAGGTCAAACCATATCACTGTCAAACCGGTGATTGTGGACTTGTGTGGTCTCTGGCGGCTGGAGCCTGGAAGAGAAAGCCAGAACGCGCCGCCGCCCTTCTTTGCACTGTGCATCTCTTTTTCTTTCCCCTGTCTGCTTGCTCCGGATTTCCCATTGTTTCCCTACCGTCTTCCTCCCCGCTCCATTTTTCGCTGCTGTTGAGAAGCCGCCAATGGAGATCAAAGAATTTTCTTTTCCTGCGGATTCTGTCCCCTTGGCAGTGATTGCGGCCGCTAGGGTTTCCGGTTTCAGTCTCCCGTTGGAGTCTCGTAAACCGTCTTCTACTCCAACTTTCGTCTTCTCTAATGGGTACTGCTCCCTTTCTGTCTTCTGTTTGTTTTTCCCTATGGCATCACGAGCTCACTTTTACACTTTTCATCGGGCTCCTTCGCTCGTTTTAGGCTGGAATTACATGGGACTAGTGTACTCCTTCGGTATATCGGCCGAGCAGCCAGCAGCATGCCGAATTTCTACGGCCAGAATCCTTATGAATCCAGCCAGGTGATTTTCCTTCTCCCGGAAGAACGAATTTTTCTATGATTGCCCCATTGTTTCTGGTTTTGCTGAATCGCTCAGCTGTTTGCTTCCCACCAGGTTGATGAGTGGCTGGAATACGTGCCTGTACTTTCTTCAGGATCTGAGTTCGAGAGTGCATGCAAGTTTGTGGACTCCTATATCTCTAAGAGAACCGTGTTGGTAGGACATTTTTTTACTATCGCTGACATAGTAGTCTGGTCAGGCCTTGCAGGTAACTTCCGATACGTTCTACTCTAGTTCTGTGCTCATGATCTCGATTGCGCATTGGTGCAGGTCTTTAAAGTAGAAAATAAGAACCATTTCTAGTGATCGATTATGATCTCCCTGTAAAAGAAGTGATTTTTTTTTGCTCGAAATGGTGGTCTTTAAGTTTATAATATCATATGACCAGATGAGTTGGGAAAACAAGCCTAGTTAATTGATGCGAGAACTAAATGTCAGGTTTGGTTTAGATGAGTGGATGGTGTGCATTGGGAGGTGGATTTCCTGTTTACGTCCAGATTAGCATCATTGTGCTGTTCAGGTGTTTCTATGTGGTACCTTGTGGTAGTATTGTTGACAATCACAACATGTATTACCGCAGCTACTGGGCCAAGGTGGGAAAGTTTAAGGAAGTCGAAGAAGTATCAAAATCTAGTTCGTTGGTTCAACTCAATCTCTGCAGAGTATGGAGTTCTGGATGAGGTTACATCAACATATGTAGGGAAAAAAGGCTCAGGAAAGCCTGTGGCTGTAAAACCAAAGGACCAACAGGCTGCTGTTAATGGGGGAGACATCATCGAGAAGGGGAAAGGAAGCAGCAGCAGGCCTTCAGCTGAAGTAGACCTTCCGGAGGCTGAAATTGGAAAGGTGAAATTGCGGTTTGCTCCAGAACCCAGTGGCTTTCTTCACATTGGGCACTCTAAAGCTGCTCTCCTGAACCAGTATTTCGCCCAGAGGTACAGAGGCAAGCTAATTATCAGGTTTGATGATACTAATCCTTCCAAAGAAAGCAGTGAATTTGTGGACAATCTCTTGAAAGATATAGAGACTCTTGGTATCAAATATGAGGATGTCACACATACTTCAGACCACTTTCCCAAGTTGATGGAGATGGCTGAGAAGTTGATCAGAGAAGGGAAAGCTTATGTTGATGACACACCAAGAGAACAAATGCAAAAGGAAAGGGGGGAAGGCATCGAATCGAAATGCCGGAGCCACAGTGTGGAAGAGAATATGAAACTGTGGAAGGAAATGATTGACGCATCCGAACGTGGGAAACAGTGCTGCCTCCGTGGGAAATTGGACATGCAAGATCCGAACAAATCTCTGCGTGATCCAGTTTACTATCGTTGCAATCCTGTTCCTCACCATAGAGTTGGGGACATATATAAGTTGTATCCAACATATGATTTTGCGTGCCCATTTGTTGACGCCGAAGAAGGTATAACTCATGCGCTCCGATCAAGCGAGTACCATGATCGAAATGCTCAGTACCACAGGATTCAACAGGATATGGGGCTCAGGAAGGTTCACATTTTTGAGTTTAGCCGGTTGAACATGGTATATACATTGTTGAGCAAACGTAATCTTCGTTGGTTTGTGGAGAATGGAAAAGTTGATGGCTGGGATGATCCAAGGTTCCCAACTGTTCAAGGTATTGTTCGCAGGGGACTCAAAATTGAGGCATTAGTGCAATTTATTCTCGAACAGGTAAACTAACTAACTAACTTGCAACTGTGCATAGTTTGTTACTGCTCTTTTCTTTTCTTATTTTGTCTGCTCTCAACTATGTAGCTTGATTTTTCATCCATCAAAAAAAAAAAACTATGTAGCTTCATTTTCTAGTCTGTGAGATATATATTTTGATCTGTTTGGTCGCGTTGATTTCTAGGGGGCTTCCAAAAACCTTAATCTCATGGAGTGGGACAAACTTTGGACGATCAACAAGAAGATAGTTGATCCAGTGTGTCCAAGGCACACTGCTGTTATTGAAGAAAAGTGTGTGTTGCTGACACTGCGTGATGGTCCTGATGCAGCATTTGTTCGCATCATACCTAGACACAAGAAATATGAGGGTGCTGGAGAAAAGGCCACAACATACACAAAGAGCATATTGATTGACCAAGCTGATGCTCAGTCTATCTCAGTAAATGAAGAAGTTACCTTGATGGACTGGGGGAATGCGATTGTGCAGGAAATTGTGAAGAATGAAGATGGAACGGTCAAAGAGTTGTTTGGTGTTCTACATTTGGAAGGCTCTGTAAAGACCACGAAGTTGAAGCTAACCTGGCTGCCTAAGATAAATGAATTGGTTAAGGTGTCGATGGTCGAGTATGACCATCTGATCACTAAGAAGAAGGTAATTCCTTACTAACCTTATCCATAGAAGATTCATAATCAGGTATCTGGCTTCTGTACTTCGTGACAGTAAGTAAGAGCTGTTGCTTTGAAACTGTTGTTATATGTGCAGCTGGAAGAAGATGAGAGTTTCATGGATGTTCTCAACCCGTGTACAAAGAAGGAGATTGCTGCTCTCGGTGATTCAAACATACGTAATGTGAAGCATGGTGAAATACTGCAGCTGGAGAGGAAAGGTTACTTCATATGTGATGCTCCTTTTGTCAGACCTTCCAAACCCGTAGTTCTCATTGGAATCCCGGATGGCCGTGGTCGCTAAGCCATGCACTGGTAAAGTAGACCTAAGTGGTACTCTTTCCCATTTCATTACAACTATGATCCTGCTGAAGCCCTGGCCTGAAAGTGTTCTTGGTATCTTTCAGGTTCGAAGGGCAATTTATACAGCAGAAGAAGACTAGAAGAGACTGGAAAGATGTTTCGTTATTGATCTTTCGCTGTCATGGCCATGGATGTCAACCTCTGCTTGTTTGGGTCCGAAAGCTTTTGAGTAGGGTGCTGAGTATTAACAATTTCCAAGTTGGGTTGTTTGTAGTTGCTGGAGGCGTTAATGTTATTCATGAATCTGCAAGGCATTTTAGTTTAGAACTCCTTGATTAAGAGATGATAACAATTTCCAAATTCCATGTATACTTTTCATTGACAAGGGTTTTGATAGCTTGGTCCAATTAACTGAGTTTTGGCGGGCATGACAAGGATTCTGAATCCATTTGCGGATGTGATGCTGCTCTCCCTCGTACGTGTAGAAGTTCTTGGCACCTTACCTTCTGAATTCTCACAAGGGAGAAGGCCAAAATTCCCAAATCACTCACTCCCTCCGTTCACCGGCCGATGGCCATCGCCGTCTCCTTCCTCTTTCTTGTACCTTCCTAGTGTCCTGCATTGGTCTTCGTTGTCTCTGACAGTCTGTCATTACTTTTGCCTTGTCCACGTAGAGATGGCCGGCAAATTTATACAATTTACTAGTTCAGTTTAGATCTAGATTAGACTAATTATATTGGATGATTAAAAGAAAATTAATATCCGACTCTAATGTGATTTTTGTTTTGAAATAAAAATAATTGTGAAAACACTCACGTTATTAATTTTGTGTACAATTATCTGGATCTTACACACTTCAGTAGAATCAAATTGGACTTAATATCCATATGGGCAAGAACAACTTGTTGTTGGACATGCATGATTTTGCGCAACTCATGGATAGTCATGTCATTGGTCATGGAGGAAATACCCTGATACCTTATAAAGTCGTTTAATAGTCATGTCATTGGTTGTGGATGAAATATCTTGATACCTCAAAAAGCCGTTTAGTAGAATTTTGTTGTTGTTGTGATTGCAATATAATTGTGATAATAGAGTTATAAATATGATCACAACAACATGAAATAAAAAATGAAAATCTGTGTAATTGATACTTCTGAAAATAATGAAAGTTGAGAATCATAAATAGAAATGCATTTAGTTACTTCTTTAGGCCCCATTTAGTATCAATGTTGAGAGCAAGACAAACGTTGGACAATAATAAGAGGAATAATGATGAGTTATGAGAAAATTGAGAGAAAAAAGATATGAAAATAACATTGGCAATAGGTTTTCGAGGATGAGTTATGTGAAAACATAGAAGAAAAAAGTATGTAGAAGGTGGGTCTAGTGAGATCTACTAATAGATTTATTTGAATGAAATTATTCCAAGAACTAATATGATCGCACAAGAAATATTTTTTAGAAACAATAGTTTTTGGAAATAAGGAAGCTAATTAAAGTTTCAGTGGTGAATTAATGAGCCGAACTCAAGACTAGAACTTGTAAGCTCACTAGTAAATCGAGTTTCAAGAAAAAATGTAAAACACACATCAAGTTCGAACTTTGACACTTTTTATTAATAAATTCGACACAAATTAAGCAAAAACTTGTAGGAGAATAGGGACGAAGGAAAGCAAAGCAAATTGGGCGACATTGGAATTTCCAAAAGCGAACCAGGATCCTGTGTCCTCGTATTGGTATCCTCTCTCCCTCGCGCCCTCCAACTTGCAGTCACTACACACAGCCCTTTCGGGGGCGATTCCAGCGAAGCCATTTCTCCCCCGGCGTGAACTCCCTAGTCCTCCTTTCTCTCCCTTGCGGCATCTTCTAAGTCCCTTTCCTGTCTCCATTAATTTTCCCCCAACCTAACCATTTCTCACCCACTCCCCACTCCAGTCTTCCTCGTTCCGCTGAAAACCCCCCCTCATTTCTAGCTTCCTCTCTTCATGGTGTTGCTCTCCTCTGGCCTTTCTCCACCAGACAATCGATTCCCGGCGCAATGTACGGTGGCCAGGATCTGATTTTCCCAACACTGATCAAGCTCCACTCCCCTCAAGCCCAACACCACCACTCTGATTACTCTTCTTCTTCTTCTTCTTCTTCTTCCATCCTCGTCGGCGGCATCTTCCTCGACCGCGAAACAGTTCTCCCTTCCTTCTTCTCCTTGAAACCGAATCAGCCTGGCTCCTCTCGCTGCTCGGGCCTCTCCAGGAATTTGAGGCTTGAAGTCGATGGCCGCCTGCCATCGCACCGGCAGCGGCGGCGGCGGCAGAGGGGAAGGGATGCACTGGCGTTTCTTTCTGTAAGTTTGTCGATAAAACAGGGCGACGAAGAGTTTGTTGGGGAACGGCAGGGAAGCTTGGCTCAGAATGGGGAAGACAAGAATTTGGAGGAGGAAGGGGTTGGCACATTTCTCGCTGCTGAGACGGAGAAGGGGGTTGATAACGAGAAGAATAAGAATAAGAAGGGGGTTGTGCGGAATTCCGGATCAGCGGCTTTCAATACTACCAAGCATCTCTGGGCTGGCGCCGTTGCAGCTATGGTTTCCAGGTTTACCTTCGTTCTTATTCGCCTGCCAAGAATGGTTTTGAAAGTTGTATATACAAGTTCTCCTTTACAATGTTTGTTATTGATATATGATTTGCTGATTCTGTGTTTGATCTACAACTAGCATTGGGAAATCAAGGCAATGAACATTTAACTCCCATCTATATTGGACCACTAACTAGGTTCATAGATAAGTTCTACCGCCATGGATTTACAGTCTTGTCAGTTCAAGTTTTATGAGGACTGTTTTAATAACTGGTTCCAGCCTCCCTAATGCAAATATGGTACTAATGGTTGCTGGAAGTGTTAAAAGTAGATTAGTTCCTAGATGGGCTCTACTAATATTCACATGGGTTACAAACAAAATTTCAGCTTAACTTGTCTGGCATGGTATAGTAGTAGATTTTCTGGAAACTTTACATTGTAGCTTTTAGTATCTGAGCATTCAACTTAGTCTGTGTGTTTTCTTCAAACAGAACCATTATAGCACCACTGGAGAGATTGAAGCTGGAGTACATAGTTTGTGGCGAGAAGGCACATATAGTTGAACTGACCAGGAAAATTTTCTTAACTCAAGGGGTCAAAGGTTTTTGGAAAGGCAATTTGGTCAATATTCTTCGAACTGCTCCCTTTAAGGCTATAAACTTTTACGCATATGATACATACAGAAAAACGCTACTGAAATGGACTGGGAATGAGGAAACCACAAACTTTGAGAGGTTTGTTGCAGGTGCAGCAGCTGGCGTTACTGCTTCTTTGCTCTGCTTGCCTTTGGACACTGTATGTAGAACCTCAAGACTCCATCTTTATGGTTCTTCATAAGTTTTTGGCATGAGCTTTCTTTTCAATTTACTTTGTCTTTGCATTATCATATAAATATATAAGTGCAGATTTAAAATTTTAAGCTAAGAATATGGGTTACTGCTTGGAAGCACAGGTGACCAAAAATAACTGTTGGTTTCCGCTTGACTGATGTTTACAGTGTAATTGCTACCTTCCTCAGTTGCTTGTACAACTTCAATGGATTTTGTAATCGGTTTAGTCTAGTGCAGCAAAACCAGTGTCGAGGAATACGTTTGCTTGTCTGTTTTAGGCAAAGTTCACTCATGGAGTTTAGTCTGGTGCTGCAAAACCATTTTCAAGGAATACGATTGCTAGTTTGTTTTGGGCAAATTCCACTCATGGAAAATTTTATGACTAACATTTCTCACCCATGTTTAAGGATGCTTCCTGAACATTGAACTGTCACATGAAATTGGCACTGGAACTGAGTTTGTGGTTTCAGTTTGATTACAATTCATTACTCAAGCAGCTTTGAACAGAATATTACTTAACGTTCTTGAATCCCATATGCGTACTGCAGATAAGGACCAAGATGGTAGCACCTGGTGGCGAAGCATTGGGTGGCGTAATTGGGACATTTCGTTACATGATCCAGACTGAAGGCTTCTTCTCACTTTACAAGGGCTTAGTACCTTCATTAGCAAGCATGGCTCCTGCGGGTGCAGTATTTTATGGTGTTTACGATATACTCAAGACAGGATATCTTCATTCGCCCGAGGGGAAGGCGAGAATTCAACACATGAACCAAGAAGGGCAGGAGCTGAATGCCTTTGACCAGCTGGAGTTGGGCACCTACAGGACTCTGCTCTATGGTGCGATTGCAGGTTGTTGCTCTGAGGCTGCTACTTATCCATTTGAAGTTGTGAGGAGACAGCTTCAAATGCAAGTCCGAGCCACGAAGATGAATGCAGTGGCAACTTGTTTGAAGATAGTTGAGCATGGAGGCATTCCTGCTCTATATGCTGGATTAGTACCAAGCTTGTTACAGGTATATAAAACCATGTTTCTAGTACAATCTTTCAAACGCTTTTCTCACATCTCTTTTTTGAATCTGGTTGGGTGATAATACGCAGCGACTTTTTCTTGTTGCTGAATGCAAATGAGTCACACCATACTCCTATCAATGGCATCATATACTATATTAGTCCATCATTTGGTTTTCTGATCCTTTTAGGTCTTGCCAACTGTGTGCATACATCTTCTTCCACTGAGATCCATGAATATTGATATCTTTCAGGTCTCGGTCTAGTCTGAACATGGTACTGTTCTTTGTCTTGCAGGTTTTACCTTCTGCTGCGATAAGTTATTTTGTGTACGAATTCATGAAGATAGTGCTGAAAGTGGATTCTTCATAGACAAGCTTTTGCTGCAACAAACAACACTCAAAATTTTATAAAAGAATATCTCTATAACCCTGGTACCCTATTTCCCCATCCTTTCCTGCTTCTTTGTTGTGGTTCTGAGAAGCCTTCATAATGCCACTGAAAATCAGTGTGGTTTCTTAGAATGTCTTCGGTTTTGAAGAGTAGAAAGTAGGAACAGTTTGAGGTCGTTTTTATTCTCAACTCTAGCCATCCTAATTTGGGCAGCTTCACTTCACAGAATCCTAACGATAGTGTCTTCTTCTTCTTCATCGATCCTCCTGAAATAAAATGAGAAACATACTTCTTTTATTCTCCTGGGACTTTCTTATGATGGATAATGTATCAGATCTACATGTGGTAATGTTTAACTTCTTCTGGCCATGCCAATGGAGATTCAATGGCTTTGGCACATGCTTACAAAAGCTATTGTAAGCATCCTTGCGAAATTGTATTGGGTCAATGAAGCCTTAATCATTCATATGAAGAACTTTGTGAGTGAGTGGAACCGATTCCTTCAGATACCAGGAAATGTGTTTGATACGACCGAAAGAAGGTTCTGAAAAGAGGGAATGTATTAGCAAGTTCCAAGGTCAGTGGGTTTTGGGATTGTTGGTAGGGATGGCAACGAGTTCGGTGAGTTTAATTTTCATATATACCATCTTGTATTACGGTTTAAAATCGTAACCATTCTGTAACAAGAAAACTGTGTGAGGATGTAATAATGTGTCATACCAAAATCAACCAGTATGCGATTCAGAGAAAACCTGTCGTACCATCCCGAACAACCAATTATTTAGTTTTGCATATAATCTAAAATTTTCTTTGAATGTCAACTGAAATGAAGTTTCTTTGTCATTGATAGAAAATGAACAAGATTTGAGGTCTATGAGATAATTACAATGGTTTAGGGATATTGATGAACGAAGTGTTAAGTGAATGAGTCTTATAACACATATTCAGGTGAGTTCGATGCAGATATTTAAAATACTAAAGTTATACCAAACCCATTACCCTCTTTGTCGGATTTGGGGAAAAAACTTACCTAAAGATAATATGGGTTAGATTTTCTATTTGGTTGGATACCCGCATTGGTTGAGTTATTTTTCCATTTCAAATTGTTGGAGGCTGCAGGACCCCTCAAGTCTAGCACTTGATTATACGGAATTCCATATGTATACTACTTTCATAGACAACAGTTTGAGACCTTGTCCAATCAAACCAAACTTTGTGGCCAAAATAAGAAGTATATATGAACGAAAATAGTACAAGGCCATCTCTGCATCTATCTGGAATTCTCAAGCCATGCAATTAGACAAAACGAGACATAAAGATTTTAGCTTTCTAGTTTCTACCAAAGGACACATTTACCCATTTTTAAGCTGCCAAATCAAATTAACACAAAACAAAAACAATTAACACACTAACCAGGAGCTTGCAGATCGAAAGTTCCCTTAACCCATTTCGTAGCAACACCATGCACTGGAAATTATCAGCATCAGATTGGAGGGATGAGCCATTATTGAGTCGAGGGAGTTGTTGGTCACGTTGCTTTGAACCCAACAACTGTACCGTAGCTTCCATCGTACCTGATTCGCAACTTTTGATACCTTGGAATTGGACACGTGGCAACTCTCGGCCCCACAACTTGAGAAGAAGGCAATTTTTGGCTTCTCTTGATGCAGTGTGTGGGAAGGTGAAGGGACTGGAGTTTGTAGTTATCCCTCAATGAGGGTCATGATAACCAACAAACCAACAGGGTCCATGTCCTCGTACACAATCAGATGCAGAGCACCCTGTAACACATAAATATTTCAAAACATCCTTCCGGAGATTGGAGAAACATCGATAGGAGCTGGAGGTATATCGAGATGATACATAAAGAATGACTGTATAGGTCAAACATTTGAAAAATATCATCATCGTTTAAGAATATAAAATATAAAAATGTATTTTTTAATCTCATTTGATAATTAAGCCCCCCGTTTAAAATGTTATTGGTTAATTGGTTGTCAGGAAAGATAGAGTATAAAAGCACAATGAAATTCTCACGCAACCCATAGATAATAGGAAACTAAAACTAAAATCTCACAATCCTACATAAAGGGTTCAATGCTCTACTTTTAGGAACAACATGCCACTAATAAAAAAGAAATGAAGAGTTGTTTATTCAAGTCAACCATATACGACCAACTCAACTAAAAGGGGACCATCAAAACTTGAGAGCAAATGGAAAAATTAGGGCTACCTCCAATATACTAATAGACTCGATCAAAGTAATAAGACACAAAATTAGACACTCTTTATTTACCAATTCCAGTAGCTTGAATAGAGAATCAACCTTAATTTCAGTAAATCAATCAATGATTCCTCGTTTTAAGAGAGACATAAGTTGTGGTAGCTGCAACAACCATAAACTTAAAGATCCAATATCAACCACTCTTCATTGTACAACCAACTTTTTATCACCTCTATCTTCAATCTCAAGAGGCATCTGTTTCAACCCAAAAATCACTTTCTAATCCTCCACCCGCAATTCCATTTCTGCTACTTTGATGGACCTTCTCTCTGTGGCCCTCAAGTTCTCTTCCAATTGGGATTCTTGTCAACTCACTCTTCAACTCCTCAATCATCTTCTTGTATTTGGCCAACTCATCTTACTTAGGGCCAATTGTGATAAGCTCAGTTGGTGCCTCTCAGTTGTCCGGGGTTTCCACTTGCGTATGGTTTCAGTGGTGGTTAGGCTTTTCCCCTAGGTGGTTTGTCTGCTTTGCTTCGTTTCTGCTGCTCGGCGGAGCTGTCTGGGTGTCTCGTGAGGCTCCTTCTCGTGCTGCTCTCGACCCTGGTTCTTCAGCGAGCTGGGTTTGTTTTGTTTTGGTCTGTTCTTTTCCGCCGAGTCTAGCACAGGGGTGGCCTGTTCCACCTAGTGCTCTTGTGTTCCGTTGTTGGTTTTTTGTTGTTTTTCTTTTTATTTCCTCCCGGATATTGGGATCAATGCTTTTGATCCTTGTTCTTTTTTTTTCTCCGTTTTAATATAATCATCAGCGTTATATTTTTTTTTTGTAATAAGCTCAGTAAAACCAACACTCATCTCCAATTCAATCAATATGTTCATCTCCTCCTTAACTGCATTCACCTGCTCCAGTTCACTTCCATGCCCTTCAATATCCTCATCATCTCTCAATTCTCTCTCTTCAACTACTCCAGTTTTGCTTACATGTCTTTTGATACCCTCTCCATTTCATTAATATCCTCATCATCTCTCACTTCTCTCTCTTCAACTACTCCAGTTTACCCTCCTCCAATTCAATCACTACCCTCACCAACTCCCTCTTCTCTATATTTACCTGATGTAGTTGAACTTTACTTGCTACCACATCCAAACACAAATTCCCCCCCCCCCCACCACTTTCATTCCCTTCCCAAGCCTAATCCCAACTCTTCTACTCCAAGTTCAACACCCCCACCTCTCAGAGTACTGTTGCGTGGAGGCTTAATTTTAACAATCATTATAGCATGAAATTATATTGATGGACACTAAAAACATCGACAAAATCAATAGTGTCAAACTAATGCTAAAAAATATCAACATTTGATCGGTGAGCTAGACCATAAGAATCGAGCTTGATGAAGATAACATGTTTGCAGACAACATTAGCTATGACAAAATAAAACTTGAGCATAAATATTGTAAAAAGAAACTTTTTTATAATGGTGATCCTATTTTATTATTTCAATAGCTAAGCAAAGAACAAAATAAAATACAACAAACAAACAACCAAGAAAGTAGACAGGGCGCTAGGGAAGTACAACTGCCCCTATTCTACACAAACATCTATTTGATTTTAAAGAAATCTAGCACCCAAACCACCGTTCAAATTTCTTTCCTATATTTTATAAATCAATCACAAACAACTTAGATAAATTGGGAAGGGAAATAATAGCCTGCAAATTCAACTCAATGAACCTTCAATGAAACTAGAAAACTCATTGAAGTTGAAACCTAAAAACAGAAAGAGGAGCAACGACGCAAGAGATCAATCGGGCTTCAAACATCGTATTAGGCAATAGGATCAAAAGAAATAGATCTTCTGCATGTTCTACTCATGAGAAAACCTGACAATAAAAGTCGTTTTGTTATTAATCAGAAAGATAAAACCATGAGACAAAGAGAAGAAATGAATGACTTACATGTGTGAAGTGATTAACCTTGGACGAAGACCAAAAACTCATTCAAGTTCAAAGTCTGGTATAGGAAGAGGAGTAAAGGAGAAAGATATAATTGATCAAACATTGTCTTCAGCAATAGAAGCAACACACTATTTCTTCTAGTAGTTCATCGATATAGGAGAGCTAGAACCATTGTGCGATGCCAGTGCAAAGGAATCAAGCGAGATAGGTCAGACCCTAACTACTTGATTGAACTCAATTCTATTCGTCATGGACTTATATTGGAGTTGAAATCTTCTACTTGCTCAACTTCAATCCCCAAAAATCAAACCATAGTTCTAAGAGATATCTGAAGATTGATTTTCATAGGCGGCCTTGTACTGGAAAGTGAAATGCAGCAAACTATTGCACTATGGGGGCCGAGGGGCAACATAGGAGGTTAGGAAGGGATAAGAACAAAGATAAAAGCTGCAAAAAATATTTTAAATTAAAAAATGAAAGGACATAACACATAGCAACAATATAGTTTCTTCCATGTTAGCCAACTGCCAATTTACCCTTAGCAAAAATTAAGAAGAGAGTATTAAGCACTATAAAAATACTTACGAAACACTTAGTGGGCTACCTAATCATGATGGAAAAGTCCTATGGTTTATATTCAAAAAGCTACAACAAACTTGCTTATTATAATTAGTTATGCTTGTTATCTTTGTGTTTGAATAGACCCTGGTTCAAACTCTACCATATATTTTTGGAGTATGGGAGGAGATTCAACTTAGCTATGAGTGTCAAACAATATGTTTCAATAACCACGAATAATAGATTTTGTTTGATTATGAAATCCATAGCCCATAAAAATGTTCGAGCTTCCACCATTTCTGGCTTCCATCGTCTCCTAAACCCTAAGGCCCTGTTCACTTTCATTTTCGTTTCCTGTTTTCTGTTTTCATGCCATAATTTTGGCAACAGAAACGAGAAAACTTGTTTACTTTTCATTCGGTTTTCTATTCGTTTCCAACTATGAAAACAGAAAGTGGCAACTTCCTGCTGTTTTCGGAAACGAAAAAATGTTGTTTTCACCTGTTTTCAACATCTGTTTTCTAAAAAACAGGAAACAGAAATGAAAGTAAACAGGCCCTAAATCATAAACTCATTTCTTTCATCGTTACTCATTTCTCTCGCTCGGACTCCCATAGGAAGATAGTGGGAATATCTCTCAACCCAGTCGACGAGGACGAAAGTTATGTTATGTTTTTCGTCTTTTTCCATATTTTTAC